CTGGTCCAGGATCTCTCTGCACAGGTTCATCAGAGGAGTGTGAGAGGCCCAATCATCTTCAACTGCTTCATTTATGACCTTCCCTCCATCAGAAGGTCAAAAACGGTGATGTTTACTGCTGATTGCACAACATTCAGCACGATTCGCAATTCAGCTGCAGCAAGGTCTGGATAATGTCTAGGTTTGGGCTGACATGTGGTAAGATTCACTCCACACCTTGCCAGACAATGACAGTCTCCAACAGACAGAACCTAACCATCGCCTCTTGACATTCAATGGCATTTTGCTTGCTGAATCTCTTGCTATCACCATTCTGGGTATTGGTATTGACCAAAAACTGAACTGAGCTAGACATTTAAATACTGTGGCTGCAAGAGCGCCGGAGACTAGGAATCTTGTGGTGAGTAACCCACCTCCTGACTATCCAAAACCTCCTCACTATCTACTAGACACAAGTTAGGAGTGTGATTGAATACTCCCTATTTGCCTGGATGAGTGCAGCTCCAACAGCACTCAAGAAGCTTGACACTATACATGTTAAAGTAGCCTGTTTGATTATCAGTACATCCACAAGCATCCACTCCCTCTACCATCAATGCACAGTAGCAGGAGTGTGTACTAACTATAAGATGCACTGCAGGAATTCACAAAGGCTCCTTAGTCATCATCTTCCAAACCCACAGCCAGTACAAGTGCAGCAGGTTGAAAGAAAGAGGACCACCAGAAATTCCCTTCCAAGTTATTCACCATCCTGACTTGGTAACACATTGCCATTCCTTCACTGTTTCGGGGTCAAAATCCTAGAATTCCCTCCCTAATGACATTGTGGGTCTACCTACATAAGTTGGACAGCAGCGGTTCAAGAAGGCAGCTCATCACCACCTTCTCAAGGGCAAATAGGAATGGGTAATAAATGCTGGCCAAGTCAGTGATGCCTATATCCTATGAATAATTTTAAAAATGACTTAAACAACACTAGTGGGAGGTAATTTGCATTCAGCTTTGCAAATATAATAGTCTACTCTGAAGGGAGCACTCAGCTCCAAAATTGCAGTGCTAATATCAAATCAGCATAACACACAAATTGTGTACAAACAAGCCCAAAATATGGCCTTTTCACTTCAATTCTTATTCATATGTATAAAAATGTTTTTATCCATACACAGTAGAGCTTTCAGCCACAAAATATCTACTCTGTTATTATTCATTTACTGCTAAAAGTATACAGTGACCAGCACCTTGCGCATTTCTATTGCTATTTATTTCCAAGCCGTAAATGTGGCCAAACATGCAATGTCACCTTAAAACACTTTTGGTAAGGACCCAGATTTACTGGCATATCATTTTCTAATTGTTTTTCACCTCACACATCTGTAGCTAAGTGTAATTTGAGACCTCCATTTTCTTTGCACTGCAAGTTATTTCTTATCAACAAGGCTAAAATGATTTTTGTGGTGAGTTCTGGTTGCAATAAAAAAGCTTTCTCAAGATGTGAACTGAATTTTAAACCTGACATTACTTTGTGTGAAAGTATTTCTGTTACTCATCAAATGTATGAAGCTTCCACACAAACCACATTAGGAAATGGAAAGAAAATCAAATATCATTACTTTAATGGTCATAATGTTCATTCTGTCTGTATTCTCTGCCTTGTAGTTATTGCATTATTTTACAGGGCATTTTGCAAAATAGAAAGAAAATGTAATTTTTTTAGTAATGAATCTATTAGTGAACAAGTTGAAGGAAATGTTATATAGGAGACAGTATTTGATGCTAAATAACACTACTTAATATCAATGGGACATTGAAGTAAACAACATTACATTCTTGTGACTCAAAGATTTCATGTGTTCTTGTCATAAACTGAACCATTTTTCAAAAATTATACCAGTAAATTAGAGTGACCAGACATGACATGTTTTAAAGAAAATCTATACGTTTGGGTGAGGCATGTATAATGTCTCAAGAAATTATTCTAAATGCTGTTTCGCTCCTGGACTTTTTTACCCGGTTTTGTTTTTACACTGCTTTTTATTGACTTTTAGCTGAGATTCATTGTTGCTTCTTACGCATTTTAAACATCAGGAATATTGAGTGGAATCTTTCCAAGCCCTGAAAAACACAATTATCAGTGAGTCAGTTGGCAATGCAGGATGAGGCCGGCAGAAATGAGATCAGCAACATCAAGAGAAAAAATTCTCTGATGCTCCACCAAATGTTGAACAGCAAAATGAGAATCATGCTAGTGAGTGATGAAAGACCTATTTGCAACTATTTGTAAGTATTAGCATATCATTAGTATCTAATCTAACCTCGTTGAAGTGTTGTTTCCCATTCTCCCACCTGCCAGAAAGAAACTAGATGGTGCCGATCACCAACATGAAAATCAGAGCGATTACCTGATGACACAAGCTCGCTGTGTGGTCCTCTGGGCCTCCATCTTAAACAGCAGTTACCAACATCTCAGGGCATGCTCTGTCGGCATTCACCACCCACATCATCTGGTCCACAGACTTTGGCACTGGACACATACCAGTCTCAATGCACTCACATAGCTCATCTGTCAGCCATTAAATATGGCTCTGCATTTTGGGATGCTCCGACACCTTTAACGGCAATGCCATAGTCAGGGTACACTTTACACCCAGGGACAGGTACTCATCTCAATTCGACCAAGGGGCATCTTAGGACTCCTCAAATATTTTTTAGTGCTCAGTCACTTTGCATCTATGTGGATACACATAGAATCTCAGCCATGCCTTGCCTTTTCACAATTTATTGCCTCTATCAGAATTTATAGGCTCCCAGTACTCATGTCTTGTCTTGCCTTTTAGTGCAGACAGAAAGCCAGGCAGCTTGCCATCTTTGTCAGCAGTGCTCAGTTAATGGGTTGACATGTAACTGTACAGCACTGTGCAATGTCAATCTCACGTCTGTTCCATGTGTTCGCTGGATATGCGGCAAACTCACTGTATTTGCTTCAACTAAATGATGATGTCTCAAAGGCTAAAGGGAGTAGTCCTCAGTCAAGTCAAACCTTCATTCAGGGTGTCCTCGCAGTAACATCAAAGACTGTGTCCCTGATCAGTCCATGGGCTTTGATATGGTCAGTTCTCATTGAGGCAATTAGAGTCAGAGATTTATACAATTAAGTCCAGGGATAGGGCCATGGTTAAGTCCATAGGCCCAGAGCAAATGGTCTGGGGAGTCAAGGTATTCAGATAGGGAGCTGTACAGAGATCATTCAGGGATCTCTGATCAGTCATCAGACAGGGCTGTCCAACCAAGTCAGTCAAAGGGGCGATCCACATCTCATCTTGGGTATCTGTCCACTAAAGCTCAAGGAGATGTTATCAGTGGTTACTGCAGTGATAAGGAAGCTGGGAAACTCAACTGTGGGGATTGAAGGCAGCATGCTGGGACACAGATTGGACAATAATTGTAAAGGGGGCAATTCAACATATAGAGGATGGGGAGAGACAATAGAACATGGGAAGGAATGGGGTAATATGAGATGGTGTCATTGATAGTCAACACCACTCTGGTTTCAGTGGAGGACATAATGTTATGCATGAGAACACAGCACACCTGGGGCTGAGGGAGTAAGGCAGGGAGATGTACAGATAAATAAGTGGGTTAGGTGAGAACACAGGGATGATCAAAGCCAATGGGGTTGGCAAGGAGCACAAGGAAGAAGGGAAGATGAAGATTTGGGGATGTCACCTAGAATGAGATGATGAGTCCGTGACTCAATCCATGAAGCATGACTTCTGTTTCATCAGAATATAGAAGCAAGAGTAGGCCATTTAGCCCCTCGGGTCTGTTCTGCCACTCAATCAGTTCATGGCTGATCCATATAGCTACCTTTGACTCATATTCCTTAATAACTTTGTTTAGCAAAAATTTATTTATCTCAGACTTAAAATTAACATCATCCGAAACACAAGTCTGCAATGGAGATGGAAATAGCTGCCACTACACACATTCTGTGAGGAAGGAGGTTCCACTTCAGTGCAATACGACGCCATTCCAAGGCTAATAGCATCAAACAGGCAGCCACACAGTATGGATAAAATACAGCCATGATCACAAAAAACACTCTATGTGAACCATAGGTATTTACCTACCGCGTGGAGTACAAATCCTGACCCCAAGCCATCACACCGACATGGTGATGTAAAGTGAACAAATATTTGCAAATATGAGAATGTTTTTAAGATGAAATGTCACCCATGCCACTTATGTGTCCTCAGAAGGTCTTCTTTCTTTCCCTTCCACTATATGATCAGTGCAGTCTAAACTCTGCAGTTGGGATGGAAGGAGCCTGCTGTACAGTGGAGTTTATGAGCCTTTAGAGTTTTGGCTGAGTGATGCCAGAATACTGTGCCTAGAGGGCCCAGACATACTGAGTGTGTCACACTCGAAGACATGCACACATTCCTCAGCCTGAACTCCCATAGAGCAGAGGGTGGTAGGCAGATTGGAGCTGGAAGGCCCAACTTTCCCAGGAGTGTCCTGACAGTGGATCTAGTCCATGGTTCCTCCTCTGGCTGTGTGCTGGCACTTCCCTGTCCCCTTGTGAGGATAGGGCACCTGGAGTGATGTCAAGATTCTTCATCCCCCTGTCACCTTGCTGTTGGCAGCAATGGCAAGCGCGATGGTATGCAAATCTGCGCATATATCCGACAGGCACCGAGTGTGCTTGCTCTAGCTTTCTATTGAACCAGTTAATCTGTCCTTGGAAGCAGCCGGACACTTGCATACCAGAGATGTTAGTGGAATCCTCCAACCTTTGAGTCAGTTTACCCAGTGAGTCCAACAATCTTGCTTGCTGCTTCTGCGTTTGCTTGTTAGTCATTGTTAAATTGTTAACTGTTGATATCCAAGTGCCAGAAGCCTACATTTTTCTTCATCAACCAATTATGGGATTTGAGACTGATGTGCTTAATAGCAGGTGCTCCTAACTCTAACCTGGTTAAAATACCCATCCAGGTCAATCCCTGAGGTGGTTGCAGTTGCAGGTAGCCTAGCCATTGTATCCTCTGAGGGAAGAGATGCTTGGTAGGTTTATCCTCTTTACAACACAGACTGTACAGATTCCAGTTGTGCCTGCGGGAGACAAAAAAACACAAGAGAATGAGTCATTGGAAGGGATAGAAATTCAGGTATATTAAGAATACATTCAGGCTGGTAATAGGAGAGCAGCTCAGAAATAGCCAATTAATCTTACTTGGTTACCAGGGAAAAGATGTTTTGGCATCACCAAATGTACAATGGTGGTTGTCACCTGTTAGGACAGGGATGCTTTCCTCATGAGCGGTTAAAGAGATGAATGTTGGGCACCTATTACACACCTTGGCTCTTTCTGTCCTATTGCACTCCGGATTCTCTTAGAATGAGACAAAGGGAAGGATCAAGTGAATTGACAGTGGCTGGCACAGCTGTTAGTGTTGTTGCTGGTGGGGGAAAGGTGCTGAGGTGGCCCAAGTGAGTGAGTAGGCAGCACAAGCAGGGTTGGTGTTATAGGGCAGTTGAGGGGCTATGAGTGAGTGAGAGAAGATTCAATAGTGAGAGTGGTAGATCATGAGCCTTTGTAGGAGACAGGTGCAGTCATAGAGATTGAGAAAGTGTGAGGTAGCAGGTGAAAATTTAGGTACTAATCCTCATAGAGAACACTGACCTATTTGTGACATTGCTGGATGTTCCTATGGACCATTGAAATGGCACTGACCTAGGTGGCAACTTTGGCCAGGCTGGCAATGTCTGGTGCCATGGTTCTCTCTGCTGGTCCTGAGGGAAGAGAATAATCCTCCTCTGCCCTATGCCATCCACTGGGACCTCCAGGCTGCCAACTGCATCTGTCTGCCATCTCTGTGGAAATTCTGTTGACAAACGATCAGCACAAGGCAGCTCTGGACTGACAGCGCCTGACCTGGTGCAACTTTGTTTTAAACATGATGCCAAGAATTCCTGGAGATCCCAGCAGTGGCAAGTACCTTGGTCCTTGGTGGGGGATAAGATAGATGAGCAAGGTCCCAAAGAGACTTGATGCATAGGTAACAAGGCAAATTTTGGAGAATAGAGTGAAAAGTCTTACTTAGGCTCACAGAGAGAAATCCTCCATGAAACTCACCAAAATTAACATTTAGCTGATTTCTGGTAACATTTAACCCATTGTTGGCAGCTAATACTCTACTTTTCCAATTAGATGAATGTTTATTCAAAGAGATGAGTTGTATTTTGTGCCTCACTCTCCACTGGAGTACTTAAAGGCCTCTGCAGCATTTTTTTTCAGTCTGTGGGACAAAGCAGACAATTTGGCAGCTTTTTCAACAAAGGATGCTGTCTGGAAAATAGGCACGTTTACTTCCTTGGTGGGGTCCTTTGTGCCCATCATGGTACATTCCTTCTTTCACACAGTCAGACTTAGCCTCTTATAGCACATCTCTCCCCAAACCTTTGATTCTCCTGTTGTATTACATGTAACATTCCATACCCAGAACAGAATTACTTCCAACAGTAGATAAATTATAAGATAACAACTCAGTGTCTCCCTAGCATGTCTCTAAAATCAGAGATCAAGGTTTGAAGCAACACGAGCATTAAGCTATCACATAATTTCATTGCAGAATACAAAGTACACAAGGACATTGTAGAGATTGTAATGTGGTCAGCCAGGTGGACCTCATAGAATAGGAGCTGCCTGATTGAGGCCGTTAATCTGGTCCAATCAGGGAGCCTGGCTGATGGATATAAACAGGACTGTCAGAGGTTCTGTTCGCTCAGAGCTGGCTCTGAAAAAGTTGGATCAGTGTTGAGGACTTTCCATGTGTCGATAAACGGTGACTTGGTGACTTGGTGACTTGGTGACTTGGTGACTTGGTGACTTGGTGACTTGGTGACTTGGTGACTTGGTGACTTGGTGACTTGGTGACTTGGTCCAGCCTCTGTGGAGTTATTTCAGACATGACAATCATTTTCATACCAACTGAATACAGATATATTAAATATAATTATACCATTCTACACAAAATTGTCACGAGTATCAATAAAATTATATGCTTTAATCATTGTTTAGTCATATTACCAACAGTCAAGGTTTTATTTTCTTCTTTGCTTTTAGAACAAGGATGTTAAAAAAAGAGATTCTGAGCCATGTGTTTATCTCCAAACTATTCCCTGATGATGAGGTCAGACATAAGATTGCAGTTAGAGAAACCTGACAATGTCACTCTTAAATTGTCCTCTGAGATATACATGAAAGTATTGTTGCTTGACCTAGTGTCTGACCTTTTCTCTGAGGAAGTGCTTTGACGTTGCTGTGTGCTTTACTCAGGACAGTCCAGATTAGTGCAGGAACTCGGGGAATGGGGAATTTGTCAGAGTCTGTGTTGTCAGTCCATGGCCCTGTGTGTTTTGTTAAATGGTATGCAAACTGAAACTGCTCAATTAAGAGATAAAGAATTAATTCTTCTTGGCTGTTTGTGCTGAAAGACTGCAGCTGAATGTTTCTTCTAGTCACAAAGGTATGTCAGGTATTTCCTAACAGACATCAATTCATTAAGAAAGAAAGGTATGAATTGAATATTAAGCAAATTCTCTTAGATGAATCATTCAGTATATTGCATATTGATCTATTTCACTTTCCAAGACATAAGCTTGCCTAAATAGGTAGCTCACGTTTCATTTACTTCTTAATGTAAAAATGGATAGAAGAATCAAAAGGTTTTTTTTTACTTTTTAAAAGTCTGAAACTAAATTAATCTGGTAACCTTAACCCAGCATTGCATTGTAAGCCACAATAAAAGCTTACTTTATAAATCACACATGCATAGTTAATATTAATCAATTCATCATGATTTATTAAGTCCCTTGCTAATACAAGTCAATCTCAAATGGTTAGTGTCCCCAGGGTTAATGCTACAATTCAGTTTCTCACAGATACAAATGTATCTATTTCCCTAACACTCCCAGTCTGGATCAATGTGAAACTTGAACCTCAGGTCACAAGTCAGAGTCTGAATGCAGTTACTTTTTACTGGTGATTCTTTGAAACAAAATTAAGACAAGTATATGGGAGGTTTATTCCAGATTTCCAAATCATGGTGACAAAACTACGCGTTCACAAAAATAAATCTACATTAGGATAAAGGAACTGGATTTACTGATGTAAAAGGATCATAAGGTTGACAGCACCGGTAATTTGTTTTTCTCCCTTGCAATGTGATATTCAAAGTTGCAACTTAGCTTTTCTCATGAAAAATAATTCAAAGTGAATTTATTAACAATTGTGACCAGAAGAGTACTGGTCATGTTAATAAATCAGCAAAAATGTGTAACTATTGTTTATTTAAGTAGCATTTTGTAAGAATATATTGCATCCAATCCTGGATGCAACGTAAGGTTAAGTTTATGCTGGATTTTCTATGCAAAAACTAGTGATAAATTATCCATCTTTCATTCTTTTCAGTCATATGAAAAGATTAGATAGCCTGCATTTATTTTAGAGCAGAAGGAGGCAGAAGTGTACAAAATAATGAAGACCAATCAGTTAAACAGCCTGTGGGAATGTACTACACCTGATGATCAAATGGTGAAAGAAGAGTTCAAAATTAGTCTGTTCTTGGAGTATTCTACAGGCATACTTCTCCAAACTGAATTAACTCTTGTGTCAGTGTCCCTTCATTTGTGCTCAAATGATCGTCCATTCAATACCTTCTACCCCTACTTATTTAACTTCAATTGATGAGTAACAAGGTATAGCTATTTTTAAACAACCTGTTCAACCATCTTATGACACTTCCGGAGCAAATAGAACTTGAACTAGGGCCTTCTTGGCCAGAGGTAGGGACATTACAACTGTGCCACAACAACCCTTTAATAGGGTATATATTTAAAATAATTGAAGAAAGAATGAGAAGATACTGAGTATATTCTCATTCCAAATGGTTACCGAATGGATGGCTCTGGGAGTTTGGAACTCTGCTTGATACGTTTGTAGAGGCAAACACCCATGTCTCATTTAAAAAGTATCTTGATAAATACTTGAAGTGTTGTAGCCTCCAAGGGTACAAAGCAGGAACTGAAAAATGTGATTAGTCCGAATAGTTCTTTGTCAGTCTGTGCTGTAAATTAGCACATTGTTGATTTTACAGAATCAAGAATTGATGTTTGCTTATGAAGATCCTACAGCTTTTGTTGACAGTTTGTAGAATGGCTGGCAGGATCAGATATAAAAACAGTTTCTCTTGGAGAGAAAAGTTAGTTCAGAACAGTTAGGAAATAGTTTACCTCAGTATTCGGTTACCTCAGTATTAGATTAGTTTGAAAATTCCAGACCAGAAGTATTTGGTTAGAATGAATGCTGAAGGGGATATTTGAGACTAAGAAAGCTCAAGCTCAGTGCGTAAATAATCAAAGAAGAAATGTCAAGCTTTTTAGAGTGGAAATTGAGAGAAACATTCAAGTCAACCTAATAGATACTTTACAAAAGTGAACTCTCTTTCTGGTATTGGAGTATTGTAAAGTGATGCTGTTAAAAAAAAATGATAATTTTCCAAGAGTTTTGAAATTTTCAAACTGTGTTATATGTAAATAGACAGGTATGTGCTATTTTATCTTCCCTTGTATAATAAAATTCTGTTTCATTGTTAAAACCATGTCAGCATTGTATGCTTACGTTTCAGTGAAAAATAATCATGTTAAATAACAAAAAAAACAAAATATGACCTATTGCCAGATTTCCACCTGGGATCCGACTTGTCCAGATGTGACATCAACTGGGATCATAACAATACTCATAGCAAATCTTCTGAAAGATGTTATACTTATATTCATTTCAAGCATGATTTAAAAAAAAACTTTGGTCAGTCTGGTTTGTGTTCACCAGTGCTAAACACATTTTTTTTTAAATCACAATAAGATATTTTACAGAGCTTGCATTATGAACTTTATTGAACACTTATTGGTAAATCTTGCTGAAGGACAGAATTCAGTAATCCTAACTGAATTAATAATGATGCATAGTCTTGGGTATTAGCAACTTTTATGTTGGACCGTATTACTGATGCAAAAGCTTGTAGGAAACAAAATAACAGTGTTCACATTGATTATATAATAATAGACTGGTCATACACTACTATATACCCAGGAGAATAAATCCAAATGTGGTTTCTGAATCTCGGGAGTTGATAATCAAATTCCTTTTCTTAACTTACAGAAAATAGTTTGATTTAACTGTGCTCTGTATATTTCAAGCACTGTGTAAAAGAAAAATGTTGGGAAAAATTCTCTAAAATTGAGCTGTGTGGCAGTAGAGAACAAAGGAAAATGTGGACAATGAGGGCTTCTGGAGCCTTACTATCTTAATCTGAAGTGTGGGAAATGTGTCAAATCTTTAATAGTCTGCAGCGTAATAGATTACGTTGAAGGACAGGTCATAATTCGAAAGAGCCAACATGATCTTAGAAAGGTCAGTAAATACCTGTCCCATTTATGAGACTAAGGATGTTGATCTAGTGAATAATGTAACAAAGTGGAGTTTATTAATGAGTGTTTCATAATGTTTAAAAACTATGGGCTGAATCTTACATTTTTGGCTAAGTATCAGTTGCGTCATGTTTTTTGAATGGCATTGCACTGCAAGACCCAGAAGTTTTCTTACCATATCTTATTAAACTTGCCCCATTAGCTACCCACCTTACCCCTATGGTGTTGTTTTCACCGGTTCTAGTCTCATCTTACTATCAGCCATTCATGGAAAGAACTCACCACTGCCAGGATATTCTGGAATTGACCAGGCCCCCTGGTGCTGGCACCATCTTTACAAGAGCTGTTACATACCAGGACACGCACCATCAGTCCAGTGTAGTCCTGGAAATTTCCTGACATTTGTCCTGGACATGATAGGGCAAATTTGGTGCCCAGCTTTGCAGGCATGGGTCTCAAAGATCTGCTGGATGGGTTAGTGCATAGTCTTCATCCCCTTGAATTAACAGACGATGCAACAACACCAGACCATGCCAGACTGCTCTGTAGTTGCTACCTGGGTCAGTGCCATTTCAGTTATCTGGACGAATGCACAGCAATACGGGAAGGAAGTGATTGACCTTCTCCATTCTGGTAGCATAAGCGCTACCATCTTCTCCCTGATACCTCACACTCACTATTTTGCTGCTCCTGTATCCATCTCCCACCAAAGCTTATTGTTTACTACTCTCGCTATTGTCTGCCACATCTTCTCTCATGTGGACTCACCCACCACAATCCTTACAGTACTAACCTTGTATGGCCTCTGTGCTGCCTAGTTGCTTGGGGTCCCCCCTCCACTTGCATCTAAAATAACAGCTTTGCTACGCACTTTCATTTCCCTTTAATTACCTTGATCAAAATGAGCAGACAATTCTCAAAATATTTTCCAATGTTCTTGAATTAAAACGAACAGCATAAAAATCTGCAAGGCTGAAACAGAGAACAATCTGTTAGTGTATTGGAATGATGTTCCATTAAAATCTATAACAAGTCCACTGGAACATCTCAATTGAAACAGTCAAAAGGGTGTGAGGTTTTTATCATTGACAGATCACAATATTTTCTATAACCCCTGTAAAATGATAACTTAATCAAAGCTAAGAAATTGAATTCACCATTACACATAAATGACACAGAGAACTAGCAACCACTGCTAAAAATGCTGAAAATCCTAATCGAACCAATAATACGCAGAGAACATATTATTAAATGTAACACATTTTAACTTCTCTCAGTAGAATGGTGGAATATACATTGGCATTCCAACGTGAGATGAATCAGCATAGACTTCACTTACAATTTGAGACATGTTGCTCCCTTAGTAGCAGTTTTGTTTCATGGGAAGCTCTGATTAGCAGTCATAAGACCGGCCACAATGATGGAGGAAATTTCAATCGATCCAAGGTGCTTTGCTGTACCTCCTTGCAGCTCACTTGAGAGTTGTGATACTGAAAGACAAATGGAGGAGACTTTCTCTTGATGACCAATGGATCTATCATGGAAATGAGGAAAAGTAAAAGAAGGGAAGTCAAAAGTCATCTTGACATCCTAACTCACAAATAGAGGTTATTAACTAATTTGGAATTTAGACGGCATTTCAGAAATACCAAAAGATTTAATCTTGTCATGTTATATATAATTTTAATTACTCAATAAGTATTTATTGTCACTGGTTTGTGATAAATGTGTGCTATCACTGTATTTCTGCAATTGCAGATATTATGTTAAAGAAATTCAGCACTGCAATATGTCATACAGCTTGGGGCAAAGGTCTAGTTGCTCAAGAAGAAATATTCCTCATGTCTGGTCCCCACCACCACCATCAACAGGACATGCATGAGTCCTTAGCCAGCTTCACTTCCAGGTTTTGTTCGAATTTGACAGAACTGCCCAAAGCCTAAGGAAGAGATGTCAGAACTGGTAAGCCAAATTAGGAATTCACCCAGAACTCTGATGAACTGGAAACTCAGGAGTTACTCAGTTACAGGTGATTGAAAGGAAGAATTAGTTGGGGAAAGGGAAGGTCAGGTCTTAAGAGAAACAAGGACTGGTGTGTGGGGCCTGGGAAGCACTTCTGTTACATCTGGCCTACAGGCAATCTACATCAAATGTGAAAATAAAATCTTGGTGCTCCCTGCCAGTCTGTTTCCAAATGCCAGTTCTGGCTTTGGAACAGTGTGGGTTTTCCATTCTCTAGATTTAAAAAGGAATTACAGCAGCAATGACATAATCAGGGCAGGATGTTATCATGTTCAATAGGCCCCTCCTCAGTCTTAGATCTCCAGTGTCTGGAATATATCTTTTGATCTCACGCAATAACATGTCAGGAATGCATGTCAGATTGCCACATCAATAGCCAGGCGATTTTATTCTCGAACAACAACCTGGGTTAAAATCTGAGTTGGAGGGTGGAATTTTCCTGTCCCCAAATAACATGGCGGTAATGAATCAGTTCGGAAAATATGACGTGAATGGAAAAACAAGACTCTTGACATTGAGAACAAAAGTCTGATTTTCTACAAAAGGTTTGAACAGTTAGATGAGAATCTTGTTGTGAGCAACATGAAGCCAATTTTCATGCATTAACATGCCATTATTATCTAATCTTTAAGTTCCTATTTTCCCAGCCAGTGGAAAGAAACTTAACAATGATGATTCCAGACGTGGAAATCTGAACGGCCATATGGCAAGACCTCACTGGCATTTTCTTTGGACCTCCATTTTGGGCAGTATTCTTGTAACTCAGGGCATGCTCCAAAGGCAGTGACTACTTGCCAATACCCTCTACTACAGTGACAGAGGTTCATTGGACAAGCCTGTTCATATCATGGCACATCTCCAACTCACTATAATATGGTTCGTCGCTTCACTAATGTGTTCAGGAGCTCAGCAACACCACACAGTGCAAGGTTGCTGTCAAGCACCACTGCAGCAATGACATTGAGCCTTGACAGTTTAGTCTTCAGGGCTGGATGCTAAAGGCTCTGGGAAAGGGAACAGTGGAATTGTGAAGGGGGCCAACAGGGTTTTGAAGTGGTCAATACTTTAAAGCATGGCTGGGAAAGTAATAATGCAGAAGGAATGGTTGCCCATGCTCAGAAGCATCCTGACTTAAAAGATGGTGCATCAGTATACGACCATTCCAGGCATGTTCACCTCATATGCCAGGGTGTGAGCGAGAAGTGGACAAATGGAGATGGGTGCAGATATTAGAAAGTATTAATCCTATGTGGTTGAGGGCTTTGACTACTAGGTATTGTGTGGGGATATTAGGGAGTTCACTGACGTGATCAATCTGAGGCTGGGAGATTCTGGAAGAGGAACAAAGCCTTCTATTATGCTGGAAATTGAAAATGTGCAATGGGAAGAAAATGGCTACGCCGACACTTCGAGTGGGTGAGGTAAGGCAGTCAACCTGTGAGGGAGGGAGCTGCAGCCAAGACCAATCATAGAGCTCTTAAAAGGGGAATGACATCAGCCACATGGCCATGAAGGTGTAAGAAACAAGCATAAAGGCTGCTTACTCCCTGGCCATCCTACAGCATTGGCTTTTTCTGTATGTGGCACCTCCCTGGCACAGCCATTCCAAGACAAATCTTTCACAATTACATTTTTGCTTGAAGAGGGAACTAACCAACCATAAAAGATATTGAACCAGGAGGACCAAAGTGCCAACAGCACCCAATTCTATGTGTTTCCTTTGTTCCTTCTGCTTGCATGATGGTGCAGTTGGCTGTCATAGCAGATCTCCATCCACTAGAGCTCATGTGTGGTCATGATCTGCTGCCAACTATCATCTTCAATGTCATCTCCTCTGAATGAGTGAGGCACAGAGACATCACTAAAAGAGAATGTTTCAGAGTACTGTCATAGAACTGTATCATTTGCTGGAGTAAGATGTGTGAACTAAAGGGTTGAGTGCCTATCCTATCCCAGTGGCCAACAAGGTGACAGCTGGCCTAAATTTTTACATGATTGGCTGCTTCCAAGGATCGACTGAGAATCTGTGTGGGTTATTTCATTCCTTAACCCTCAAATGTATCAAGGATGTTACCATTGCAATTTGATTTATTTTCCCCATGATAAGGTCAGCGTTGTAGCCCAGGCAGCAGGTTTTGCTAACATTGCTGGCTTCCCCAAAGTGCAAGAACTATAGGCTGTATACATGTTGAGATGAGTCGACTTCATTAGTAGAAAAGGAGAATATGCAAGTGGACATCATTGTACCACATCTTAGAGCCTGCACCAAGTACCCTAGAATCTGCATGCTGCTTATATTCTTGATAATTATTAGATTCTTGCTCCCTTTAATATTTGGATGTCTTTCAAGGATGGCTGTTGGGACACAAGGCTACACTTTGCTACCATGACTGATTACACTATTATGTAGCCTCTTGACAAAGGCTGAGCCTAGATACAATGTAGCCCATTCTTCCACTAGGGCCATCATGGAGCAGATGATGGGTTCCTGAAGATGAGATTCTGATGCTATGATCGATTCAGAGGAGGACCTTTTAGTACTGTCCAGAAAGTGTGCTTCAGGATCCTAGCGTGCTGAGTTCTCCACAATTGGATCAGACAAAGACAGGATGTGATGGACACTGAAGAGCTGGGAGAGCAGCAGCAGTCTTTTGAGGAGGAGGATGAGGACATTGAGTGGGAGGAACATCACCTTCAGTGTGATCGAGTGCTGCAGCATTGAGCACAACAAATCAAAGAGAAGTTAACTTGTACACGATTCCATTAGTTCTGAGTTGTGTGATGTCGTCATTCATTTGCTGCAAATTTGTTTTGCTCCAGAGTCAAGCAGCTCCAGTTTAGTGCCACAAGCAAATGCAACAGTTTTGTTTGTACTTTCTTCACTTTTCCTGTTGTTTACTAAAGGTTAACTTTAACAATGGCGTGAGGGCTTTAAAACTTGTGATGGTCCCACATTCAGAAATAAGACGATGTTATGCTATCAGAGATAGTAGGAACTGCAGATGCTGGAGAATCCAAGACAACAAGGTGCAGAGCTGGATGAACACAGCAGGCCAAGCAGCAAAACAGATGTTATGCTATGCTGGACATTAGCCAGAAAGAGGTTTGGCACTATGGAGCAGTGTCATGCGAAACTTGATTCTTGTAGCTGCAGTTATAAAGACAGTCAATCAGACAGGTGATGATTTAAAGTGTCAATATATTCATGAATGTAATAGTCTATTTACAACGAAGTGTCACCCATGTCAGCTACATGTGCTCAGAAGCTCTTCCTTTTCATTTCCCTCCCGCTATGTCTATTGTGAAGGACTGTTCCATTCTGGCAGCATTTAATCTGATGCACAACTAAGCTTTATATGTGGTGATGGCAGTGGGAAGCCTGGAAGTAGTGAGTGAGAGCAAGATTGCGAGAGAGTGATTCAGTGGAGCTGTGGTGCATCCTTGATGAGATGGGCAGTAGAGGATTATGTGAGATAATTCATTACGGCTCACAGAGAGAACCCTTTCACAAAACACTCTAAAATTAACACTTCGGTGATTTTTGGGAATAATATTGTCTATATATTTAATCTAGCAACTGTCGTGTTCATTTATTTAATTAATCTGTGTTTGGTTATATTAGCCAATTGACTGATCTATGCTCACTGTACTTGTTTGACCGAGCCTGTGTATAGCCTCAGAGCTAAAATAATCCGAGGCTTACAGATGGAGCTGAGAACTGAGAGCTGTAAATATCTGTGTAGAAATCTTGCAACTGAAAAGATGTTTTAAAGCATTGTAAATAAACCTGTTGTAGACTTAGAAGCAGACATATTTGGATTGTATAGCAAATATAAAAAATATACAACAAACAGGTGAATTCACAACACTAGTCTAACACTGGCGACTAAGTTAGAAATTCAATGATCACACTTTCCAAAATATAGACAGTACTCCTGACCAAGCCAAAACCGTAAATCTTCTGCTCCCATCAAACTCAGCTTCCCACTGTGTGCAAGGATTGTTAAAATTATGGTGGGGGTAATTCTGATGAATGAATTCCAAAAGCAACATCAAGGTGAAATTCAACTTTGACAAGATGCAGAACAAGCAGCAAACGAAAGGTTGTCCGTTATATTTTTACTAGCAAGTGGAAATCAAGCTGGATGTGGAATGGATCCACTGCTCCCTGTACTCACCAAAGCTGAGTTACAACACCTGTGCATTTAACAAACAGGAAAGGTAGTTGAAATACTCAATGCTAATTTTATGAATGTTAAGTGAATCTGATTTTATCATCTCAGTAATAGCAAACACTGAGTTGCCATGGATTTGAAACCATTTCAACCCAGTCTAGAACAAAGCAAAGATACTGATCACAGGGATCAAAAACATTAACCACAAAGTAAATCAAAGAGTAGTTGAAGGTTAAATAGCCCTAATGAACATGAAAGTACAGTATTAAGTAAAAAGTAAGTT